AATAATTTGAATTAAATAAAAAGTTCAATAAATAGTCATAATTTTCTATTGAGTATAAAACTTACCAAAATTATTATACAACTTGAACATTGTTTTCCTTATGGTCCTCTAATCAACACAATATCTACAGCAGTTTCAATGAATATGAGGAAAAACCCTTTTTTTATATATTCAATACTCTGTATAACAAAAATATTGCGATTACAGCATTGACATCAAATTTTTTTCTTAAAATAATCTAAGCAATCGCACAATCTTAATAATCACCATCTTGTTATAAAACACGCTGTATGAATATTATAAATAATAATTTTTACGTCACACAGTAAATAAGTCATTTTAAGTATATTTTTCATCCTTTATTAACAAGCAATAATGTCTTAGACGGTTGCACAATTTGGGTACTCCTTAAGTATTGTTTGATACACGCAGCCATCTCCAGCAAAAAATCGAACGCCAGGAAAATATAGAAACTCGCGAAAAAGAGAGACTACGAAAAACATTGTTAACACTCCGGGCAAAAATTTAAACACCATCCAAACAACAACAAAAAAAAGATCAACAGTCAAAAAATTAATGGGAACTCAGAATTAAACATTCTATTAAATGTTCAGGATAGTCCCCATCGTATATCTTCTGAAGCTGTTGTTAGCATTTTTGAATGTCCATCCATCCATCATTCCAACTTGGTCAATCTTGTAGATATTTTTTTGTAGCATTCCGGTACTTTTTACTAACCATGTATTACTTAACTCAATATTACCCATGCCTCAAACTATCTGAATAAACAGTCAATTAAAAGTATATTTTTCCCCAATAGTATACGAATTAACTTTGTTAAGGAGGTGAGTTGGCATTTTGTAATAAATTTTTTGAAACTATTGTAAAAATGAAGCCGTAAATATAGTAATGAAAAAAAAAACTCAAAACTCTACACTTAAAATATAAAATGAATGCTCGAGTGCAAGGTTTAAAAGGAACCGGTGCAGCTTTAATAAAAAAAAAATTAAAATGGAGATTAATCAGAACCTAACATTTTTCAAAATTGATTAACAAAACAAACAGCTCATTTAATATGTTCTAACTAATTGAACATTTAATATCGTTCAGAAACGTTTTAAAAACTCAACGTGCATTACAGAAACATCAGACTTATCATTAAGCCGTCGAATTTGCATATTAATCGAATTCCATGTTTTCATTTCAAGTGCAATATAGGAATTCCATTGGAACAAACATCTTCATAAAATATGCAAAAATATAAGTATTCCAATTACGCATTCACGCGTAGTTAATACACCATTAAAAACGCCGAACTTCGCAAAGTTTGCGTACTAATTAGCGAAAAATTCGACGAATATTATCCTAGGTAATAGTACGATTTCAGCTTATTACCGTTGCTCTTGAGTAGGCGACCAATTTTTCAAACAGGTGCAGAGTCGGCTTAAAACATCGTATTTTTTTTTAAAATAAAGTTTAGTAAATATAAATTAATTCTCCAAAATTAAATGTAGGTTCTAGCTTAATTAGGCATATTTTTAAGTGATAAGTGAAAAATTCCTACTTAGAAATTATGATAAACAGAACACAGATTTGGAAAATAATTCAGAATTTCTGGAAAACAATTAAGAATTTCTGCTGTGAATCGGAATGACTAAAAAATAAATCATATCTGAAAAAGAAGTAAGAATTTCTAAAAAATAAATCTGAATTAAAAAAAAAAGACTGAATTTCTGAAAAATAAATGAGAATTTCTTATGTCTCTGGCAAGGGAAATTGCGAACGTTTGGAAACTGCGCACATACTCACTCAAGCAAGACCGGAATTGCCAGATAAAATACAGGAATTTTCTCTGTTTTACCTACATCTGATGAAATAAAGTCAGCTATCAATAGTTTTAAATCGAATGTTTTGGGAATTGGTGGAATTTCACTATCAGTGCTCAACTAGCTTAGTACCTGGGTTGAGCAAGAGTCTGGAGAAGATTGTCTACTTACAGCTCTATGAATTTGTTAAAAATAATGATGTCCTAATAGTTTTTCAATCGAGTTTCCGCCCGGGACACAGTACTGCAATAGTTTTGACGGATCGAATTATTCAGAGTTTGGATGATAAACTCGCGCCGATACAAATTCTACATGGCTGCAAGATACTTGCATCTTGAGAAAAATGGGGACAAAATTTAGGAGTAACGGTGAACGCTTCATTAAGGTTTAGTGAAGAAATTTCAAATTTAAGTTAAAAAATTTATATGTAAGACTCTGTATGCCAATAAGCCTGTGTTGACTTTTAAAATAAGAAAAAAGATCTGTGCGTCGTATATTATATCTTCATTTTCATATTGCCTCGCACTGCAAATACAAACAGATGTTGTATAGTTTAAGGTGATATGACAACATGTCCGCAAAAATTAAAGAGCTGTAGTGGGTGAGACTATACAATTTATTCGAATACCTGTACTTCGTGTTAATTTTAAAGATCAATTAGTTAATAAAAATATATAAATATTGCGTTATCATCATTAAATTTGTTCCGAAAGAACATTAAAGATATATTGTTACAGAAACAAAGTGAGCCATGGGTTTTTCGTTAACCCTTTAATAGTTTAATCATTGTTTTCCTAAATACTTAAGTACTTTTCCTTTTGGTTTTATTTTATTTCTGTTTAGTACGGATTCTCTTGTAGTACTAAGCATATTGTTACAAATCTGATTAAAGTAAAATATATGTATTATGTATTGCAAAAGGTGTATAATAGATGGAGTTGGGTTAAAGCTGACTTAGTTAGCTAGACTTCGCCCTTTCAGAGTATTGTACTGTATCTTTGTGTATCATGCATAGTCGGTATGATTTGTGATGGCTTAGTCGGCAGTAAAATGCCAGACAGAATAAAACAGATTATTCGTTTTACTTCCACTTATGCTTCAACAGATGTTATTCAGCCCTGAATATCTATCTGTGCAATGCAAAACAGTCGTCACCAACGACCACGATTATATTACTTGGGAGTAAGAGATACAGTTGTACTTGGCATTTATTAATTAAAGTAGTACGCCCATAAGCAGAGATGGATTCGAGTATTCTCTTTGTGATAATAGATCAGGAAGTTCCTTAATGATATGCGAATGTTTAAAAAATTATGATAATTTGGTAAATAAATTATTGTCCGAGAACTGTGTCCATTCAATTACAACTAAAACAATACCAAGAAAATTGGAAAATATAAAAAACATATATCATACCATATAAAATCGGAACTGCTACTAACATAAAATGATCCTTCGTATACATTAATAATTGTGGTGGTACCGTTGTATCTCAGTATTCTTTTACTATATTTTGTGTTACAAAACTGATCCAATTTTCTTTGGTAATTGTCTGGAGGGTTGCCGTCCAAACAAATACTACTGCAGTATCATCGTGCCTTTCCTCACTTACAATATTTTTTTTAAAAAATATTTTGCACTGAGCCCCCACCAATTTTTCACAATTTTTAACAAATCACATTTTAGACCATTTTATGGGTAATTAATCCGCCTACTGAGCAGATATTTGGTTATTTCATCATGTCTTGTCGATGTATTTGGTACACTTTCGCTAAGTCTAGAATGATATCGTTTCGTCAGTTTTGTTTTGTAGTGGAAAGTACTGTAATTACCCGATAACTGGCGCTATCTCTGTCGAATATATGACACCAGGGAGTAATAGACAAAGGTAGAACACTGGCAGCTAATGGGTGACTTTTACTATTCTCAGTATACGAGTAGAAGCAGTTAAAATACTATATGACCGACTATGATATCGCAAATCGTACCGAATATATATTCCTGAATGTCTCTTAATTCTCAATTATTAGGTATACAGAGTGATTTATGTCTATACTGGAGGTATTAGACACTAAATTACTGAATGAATGAATGGGCACAACTTGGCTCATGCAAATGTCGCTGGTTTCGGATATAAAGAGCTTTCAAGTTTCAATTTTATTTTGATTTTTTTCATTAATTGAAAAAATTTTTACAGCATAATAATAAAAATTGGCCGTTTTAGGTTTTTTTGTAAGTTAATTTAGGTAGTGCAAGTTTCACCATATTATTTACCTAAATTGAATCTTTTTTTTTTAATCTGTCGAGTTCTGGTAAAAACATGAGGGCAATCTGAGAGAATTTTCAAGTTTCCATAGAAAGAAAGTACTTTTGTTTATGCCATCTAAGGCTTTGTCTTCTTTGACTTATTATACTTGAAAAGGTACGAGAAGCAATAAAAAAAAACATTTTTTAAAAATAACAATTTTGGTAATATTGGTATCTAGTACCTCCAATTTAGAGATTGTTCATTCTTTTTGCATTACCCTATTTATTTGACGTCTGATGTTACGAGGGACTTACTTTATAAATTCTGAGATATTTTTCAGAAATTCTCACTCGTGTCACAATTTGTGAGTTATATTTCCAGAAATTTAAGCTTATTTTAAACAAAATCTGAGCTGTTTTCGAAAAATTTTGAATTATTTTTCGAAAATTTTGCCTTAAATGACATTTCTTTCTGAAACTATGACTCGTTTTTTAAATATTCAGACTTAATTTTCAGAAATTCTGATTTAAGTCAGAAATTCTGAGCTGTTTTCCAGAAATTCTGCATCATTTTTCAGAAATTCCCACTTGGGTGAGCAATTCTGATTTCTTCTCTAAAAATTTGCTTAATTAAATTAAAACATATATTTCATTTTTCGCAGCCTTTCATCGCTTTGTACAATTTCGACTGCAAATCTAATAAAATTGTTACATTATAATGAAACCGAAATGTCACAGGTAAAATTCGGGCCACACGGTACATGTAGTTCTGCACGAACTACGTCCAAGGTTCGTCTCCGACTATCGATTTTGTCATCGATCTCTAAATTATTTATTGTTAGCAAGATTTGTACACGGCGATTCGCATCACGCAGGTGGGGACAACATAAAAGCCATAACATCTTTAAAACAAACCTTTGACATAAAGTGCGATAAAAAGACCGCCACTCATGTACGTGCGTGTGCTTTCAAAGTTTTAGTGCCTTAAGCGTCTTTATTTATACATATAGTGTGTAATTAGTTTCGTGTATAGCTTACACTATGTGGAAATTGTCTCAGGTAAAAATCTGAAGAGTGCAAATAGAAATATATCTTTTTAATAGGTCGAAAATTAATTGAATATTTTATATATTATTTATGCTAATAAAAACATTTTCCATAAGTTCATTAATTTCGTTGGCTTCAGAATTCGCAGCATGATTATTTGTATGTCTATCTAATTTATGCCTTCATGATTTTTTTAATAAAATAATTAATATTTAAATATCTTGTGTCCCTAGCCATTCTTTGTCTTATGCTAACCCGCGGTTTTTAGATGTTTATTTTAAACCTTTGCCCTTATCAAAGGCTCCCTGTCCAACAAAAGTATCCACAGACGATGAATGAGCAATTTAATTATTTGGCTTAGCACTGCAGAGGCTAAGATTAACTTTATAAACCAACCAAAAGAAGCAAAACCCTATAATTGTATAAATAGAAATCGTTTTTATCTTCCACAAGAAAAATGGTCAAGATTCAGCCATCTATTTGCGAGAAATTAAAAAATATATATTTAAAAAAGTCAAACGCCTAGCACTAATATGGTAATTGAATTGGCTTTTCCTAGAAAACCGTTGATGAATGGGTAACTGACATTATATAATTTGTACGACAATAATTACCGGTACCTACGTTAATCTTAACGAGTTAAAGTTGTCGCTCTTGGCCTCAAAGTATTTTTAAAAAAGGTTACCGTCCGGCCAAAGCAAACAAAACTCAATCAACGCATATTTCACTTATATACTCGCCAAGGTAAAATTAAAAACGTATTGAATCAACCGAACTGAATCTTCCGAAACCGGAAATTATTTTAGAGTTTTAAGTTGTTTGCTAAATTAATTTGAAACGCCCGCTCACGCCCCACAGTGGTGCAAACAGGCTCTTTTGCTGAAAATATTAGGCAACATACAGACCATAAAATATTGTTACGACAGTATCTTAAATTCCCTCTGTATAACATTCAAGGTAGCGAAAAATCTTTTAAATGAAACAGTGTTGCCAGCTTTATCGAAAAGCACGAGCGTTATTGATGTTATATGTAGGACAAACCATTATATTATCGCATTTTGAATTATTCTAGCAATTCCAAATATAATTAATAGGATACGCAAATTTATATCAAACACCTTTTTGAAGTAATACCACAGCTAAAAATGAGTATTTTTTTATAATTTAAGTAGCTGTAGAATTTAAAATATCCACTAGAAGAGTAATGTTTTTTATTTCATATTTAAAAAAAAGTAAAATTATACAGAGGACTCTAAACATCTTATACAGTGTCAACATTCAACTTTTAAAATCCGTATTTTGGATTCCTTTATCTTCATATTAGTAGTTAGTCTTTAAATGAATTTTGAAGAGTAAAACTTTAATATTTCAAAACGTTATAGTCATTCACTCTTTTGCATAAACTTATATTAACAGAATGAGTTCAGCCCTCTTGATCCGCATGCATCTCTTCTCACACATGCTTATTCGATTTTCATCCATTTTTTTCATATTCTCGATGTCCTTTTTTCCTTGGTCTTTTTATTTTGATTGTATCCTCGTTGCAAAACTTGCCATCGACTTTCTATACGAATTGCAGGAAGATGATTTTTTTCAGCAATTTTATTTGTGCAGTACCGATGGTTATTCCATATTTTTGAGTAAGTGAAACTGGAGATGTGTCAGGTAGTTCCTCATTTGTTGATATCTCCGTGAAGGTAGTGATGGAATAATTTACTATTATTGGCAATATCGAATCTGCTGACTACAATATTATTCAGGAAAAAATTGAAAAATCTTGGATAAACAAGATGTAGTTTAATTGATGGTTTGTGTTACACAAAGTGTGGCTGAATCTACCCGTATTAAAGTAAAAGAAATAAACTTATTATTTTCACAACTTGCAGTATCGATAACTAATTCCCAAATTAGTTTCACTTCCCCATTCACAATTTAGTGTTCGAACTCGATGTTGGAATTCGAAGAAATTAGAATATTTTACACAACACAAATTAAAGTCCAAATCTAGATAATATTTAATTATGAGACATTTTAACGAAGAGTTGTTCGTAGAAAAAAATATTGCCAATAAATATTAATCGACAATGAGGAAATAATTAAAGCACCGATTTAATATTCGAAAACATTTTTTGCATTGATTTTTATTTTTGTATTTTGTAATTTAGAAAATTGATGCTTTTTTCCGCTTTTCTTTGAATGCCAGTTCCAAATGATATCAAATTGTTATCTTCATTACTAACCCCCTGTAGATATTTATTTTCAAAAGCTCTAGTATTTCATTTTTAGGCTCACATTATTTTTGGCCACCTTAGTAGCGATTTTTTTTAGTAGATTTTTGCAGATTAGCGAAAGGTTAAAGTTTTTTTTAATGAGTTTTTGATCAATGACAATCGTGCTTGATGTTTGATAAACCGCACATATTTTATTTCTGATATTTGATATGATCTTTGATATTACGAGAACGTGAGCAGTGAAAGGTTTATTGTTACTGGATTTTAATTAAAATTTTACAAGCATGTAGTAGAATTAATGTACTTCTTTACGGCCATGAATACTTCATCAAAGTTTATTTTAATTCGGCGCACGCAAGTATTTAAAAACTGATAAATTAACTTATTAAGCTCGGCGGACTCGTTCATCTTAACCAATGAATCCAAACCGGATGGCAGCGGCAGACTTTTTAATTAATACCTGTTCAACCATTTTAAATTTGCATAATCCATTTTTTATTATTTTTCGTCTAGGTCGTAGAACATAAAATTCCAAACTTTTTTTCGCCTACGAACACCTGTAAATTTTGTTTTCGCATAAATTAATAAGATTGTGCATCGCATTTCGAATGGACGAATTTTTTTTAACGTTTTTAACGGTCGAAAAACTGATCGAATACAACCAAGTTGTGAACACCGAAGTTTCCTCTTTCGAGCACATGTCATCTATACTGCCTACTAGTGAATAAAATTTCCACGGAACAGTATATCTTCCAGTGATAGTAATAATGATTATTATTATATATTGTATCATATTATAATATTAGTATATTATTAACTATTATTATTATTGTTGTTATATTTTTTACGCATTTGTTTATTATGTCTTCAGTCTGAAATTTTTCCTTTGTATCATTTGAATTATTACCAGATTGAATCAACGATTTAAAATAAATAAGAAAAGATGGGAATGAAAAATATCCAAGTTATTTCTTAAATTCCATCACAAGAATGTTTTAATGTTGATCATATATCGAAGAAAAATGTAAAGACATCTTTATGCTGTGTTAATTTCCAAAAGGGACCTGGGCTAGATGGTTTTCCTTCGATATTTCTAACATCATGCCCCGATCTTTGTGAGCCCTTCTCTTTGCTGTACAATCAATCCATCTTAACTGGTAAGTCCAGGATACTTTGGAAAATTGCCCAAATCGTGCCCATTTTGAAATCCGGTGATAAGTCCAATGTAGCTAACTGCAGATCGATATCTCTCCTAAGCCGCTTCGGCAAATTGTTTGAGTCACTTGTTTTGGACCAATTACTCTTTATTGTTAAGGGTACTATTGACCCGAATCAGCACGGATTTTTTCGTAAAAGATAAATCTTAACTAATTTGGTACCGGTTGTTCAGTCAGTGACGGACAATATGGAGCAGGGGTTCGAGACTTGTGCCGTTTACACCGATTCCTCCAAAGTTTTTGATAAAATACACCATCCAACTCATGCCTTGAAACTGGAGAAATTCGGTGTGCACGGTGTTTTAGTCGCCCTCCCTAAGATTTAGTTTTGCGTGCGATCTCAATATGTTGTAAATGGGATAGAATCAAAGAGTACAAATATAACTTCGGGACTACTTAAAGGACTAAGTAAAGGACCTGGGTATTATATTGGATTTGGGACTTGTTTGCAAGATATACGTAGAAAAACATTGTTCAAAAGGCTCAAAAGAGTCTTGGATTTATTCTACGGGTTACTAATGGGTTCAATAATAAAAAAATATTTAATAATAATTTTTTACAGTCTTGTCAGACCCGTGTTGGAATATACTACACCAGTCTGGAATCCGATGTATTTTAAATCTATCGAACGGCTGGAGAGTGTACAACGAAAATTTGTATTTTTAATAGACAGAGATATTTTTTTAGTTTTAGCGTTTTTATTATATGCAGTCTTTGGAAAATCGTAGAACAAATTTTGATTTACTATTTCTTTATAAAATTGGAAACAATTTGATGAAATGTCCTTTCGTTTTGGAAGAAACATACTTTAATTGTAATCCCTACATTCTTTGATACTGGCAAACGTCCGCTGTATCCAGATCTTGATCTATTTGCTCTGAGTTTTAAAGTCTTTAAACGACACTTAAGACGGTATACTAATCAACATACTGTAATAAAAAGCTGTAATTAGTTGTTAATTAGATTTAGCTTGTAAAAAATAATTGAAACTAGTCCACAGACAAAGTATTTCTTTTTTGTGAAATTTTGTGGTTTCCTTTTCCTTGTGCAGCGTCTGTTTTTAGGAAAGACTTGTTTATAAATAAATAAAAAAATAGTTTTAAAATGTTAACTTTCTAATAGTCTATTTGGGTTATGTTATTGAGAGTAAATAGGAAAGGTGTTGAAAAGGTAGGGAGAGTATAAGACAGGATAGAAAAAAGGATATGCTATTATTATTATTATTTAATGATTATATAATTCAATTATTTTTTTATGCTATGATCTGTTATGTTATATACGGGAACTCAAAAATTTCTGGATTTTGACAAAATTTATTTTTGGGAAAGGAACGAGATAACTAGAAATTAAAAATATGTGTATATATTATCCAATAGAGATATCATTTATATTAAAAATCATAGAAGAGCACACATTTTTTGTTTATTTTTTTCGTTAACTTTACTTTTGTCGCAGCAAAATAGTCGCACTCTTTTGATAGTTATTATACAAGATGTTTCAAGAACATGTCTGTATATTCGTTATCCATAAAAATAGAACCAAAGTTTATATTAACGTATATTAGGATATATTTACTAACAATTAGTAAAAAAAAAACTTGTTTTAAAATCTTTCGTCATAGGCAACATACGCAACTAAGCTGGGGGTCATGACTTATTCAAAGTAAATCACCAAAATTGCAGTGGCGTGCCTATATTGACTTTTCGCTGGCTTTCGAATCCTTAGACTTTGACATTATGGCAAAAAAACGATAAATGGAGAATGTCACATAGGAAACATAGGAAAATAGGTGTCAAAGTAAATGGAGTGCACTCAGATCCTTTTAACGTTAACTTGGACACGCCCGAGGGAGGAACCTTAGGTAGATTCTTTTTATTTTATATGTAAATGACCTTCTTCAGTTCCTAAGTAGCAACTGCCGCGTTTTTATATATGCGAATGACAAGCCCATCTTCGTCTAATGGAGAGATGCTCGGGAGTTGATCAATAGGTTCTCCAGTAAATTTGGAGAAAACAGCCGTACATTAAACTTTTGCCTAACTTGGCATTCAGTGTTGTTGGTTCACGCTTTACATTAAACCACACAACAAAGTTTTTTTGCTCTTATATCGATGCTTTCCTAAAGTGGGACCACGACGTGGATAGTGTTTGTAATAAATTGAACAAAACGTTTTTTCCAATATGAACAATCAAAGACGCTATCTTTGGAACGTCCTTGTTGACTTTCTATTATGCTTCAGCCTACTCGTCTCTTTAAAATAATATTCTAAACTGGGAACAGGCTAGCGATGCGGAGGGGTGTTCATATAGCAAAAAAGGATACTACCCCCGAGGCATTCCTGCAAAGATACTTTTGAAAAATATAAAATAATAAAGACTCCCATAACAAACATGTCCACGGTTATACACCAAAAACTAACCGCATGATTTGCAAAAAGTATGTAAGTTATGCAAGACCTCATTATCATAAAATGCGTCCTCCAAGCATAAAAACGTTATCTGTAAGATAGTTTAAAAAGTGCATCACGAGCCTTCTGTAGGCCAATGCTTTCTACAGCAGAGATTGAAGCGTACCATGTGAAAGTGTTCTGATGAGTGTCAGGTATATTGGTGTATTTTATCAAAATGTTTGTACTGTCGCTTGGAAATATACTCGATTGTTACGTACCGTAATGTTATGTGTGTGTCTATCGTATTGTTTATACATATAATTTCATGCATCTTTTTAATATTCGATAATGTACTTTTTTTTCCTGACGAAACATCCATTGTATACTTACTGGGCTTTGTGTATAAAATTATCTATTAATCTATCTATATTTCTTTCACACTAACGGCACTGGACTTCACAATTTTAATCTGGAGAAAGCAGAATTAGCCTTTTATCATTATAACAGATGTTGCCAGATTTCAACAAAATCGGACAAAAAATGAGTAACATATTGTAAAAGCGCTATCTTGCAAATTAACCATCCCCGAACCTAGATTTATATGTACCTAGGTCTTCCATGCAAATATACAATTTTTCTTGTTGGACTAGACAATTTGTACGGGGTGGCCGGTTATTATGGGATGATACCTTATCTACCTTGTTTGTTTACCATTACAATTATCTCAATCATTGTATGAGCTGCAAATTTTTCAATCAAATGGTGCTAATTTTACTGTATTTTTGTAAAATGTGTATGTGATTGTTACGATAGAATGTTTTACAGTGACAGTAGGGTTGCGGAATTGCCAGATTAAATTTTTTTGATATTATTATTGGGATATTGGATATCACATGCATAATTTTAAATAAAATATATATTGTTATTATTAAATAATGATTTTTTAATTAATCAATTAAGTGAGCAATTGACGGTCAAGCGAATAGTTGCACCACTAAGTGAAAGTATTGCAATAACTTCTTATGTTTGTTGGTATTAACTGCCGTAGAAATACTGTCTACAGTTCGAGATTATGTAGAACAGTGGATCATTAATCAATTAAGAAGTAAGCAATTGACGGTCAAGCGAATAGTTGCACCACTAAGTGAAAGTATTGCAATAATTTCTTATGTTTGATGGTATTAACTGCCGTAGAAATACTGTCTACAGTTCGAGATTATGTAGAACAGTGGAAAAATGTAGGTACAATTCACAGATGAATTCAGGGTTTGTTTAAGGTCACTGAAGATATCCTCCAAGATGTGGTCGTTCTTTTTGCTCCTTTCATTAGAAATCAATTAACTTTAATACATGATCATGCTAGACCTCATGTTGCACGGGTATTGAGTGAATATATGGATGAAGTTGGATTGTCAAGTTTAGAATGCCCCGATTTCAATGCTGTTGTGAATTTTTTGAATGAATATAATTCAGCCGTACTTACATCTGGCGTTGATGGAAGAATATCAGGTTATTTCTCACAGAAGAACATTTATTCTAATTAGTTCGATACCATGAAGACTGTGATTGCTGGAAGAGGTGGAAATGTACCCATTTAAAATTTTTGTTAATTAATTTTTTGATATGGTGTTTCCTTTTCTGAGTGATACCTAAATAAACTGCAAGTTACCGTTTTATTGCAAACGCAACATTTAAGAGGAAATAAAAGAAATGGAATTTGTATAAGATTACAGCAAACAGTTTGTAAACCGAATTATCCCCTTCAGTTGTGGTGTTTTGAAGCTATTACAAAAAACAACATTTTGCTTTAACCTGTATGATACTGCATGAAACAAAGAAAATTGGTTGTCAAACTAACGAAAAACAATTAAAATAAATGAATTGACGAATTGCTTAAAAAATCATGAAAATTGGAAGATCGATAAAAAAAACATAAAATGGATCCAAAAATTTGGGATTACAGAATTTTTCTGTATACATAGAGGGTGTTTGTATCTTTGTAGACAAGTAACAACTTTTTTATTTTAAATTACTCTTGTATATTAAGGCATTTTTGTATTCTTCGAAGCTTTATCAACATATTTCATATACCGACCTTTGCAGGTCTAAATATATCTATCGATTTCTGCGATTACGATATTGTAGATTTTTTATAGAATTGGATCGAGTTAATTGGTATGTTCTAATATTTAATAAATAAATAAATACAAGTTCACCAATACCTAACGTTACAAATTTAAATGAAAAAATTGTTATAAGTCATTTTTCAAATGGAAAAGCCACATTTTTAAATTTTTTTGGTTCATTCATCATTAACAGAAAAGTTTAATTATTTAATTTGTTTAATGATTAGAAACCAAAAAAAAAAATCAAAAACACTATCTTAAATGATTAATAGAAAAAAAAAATTTTAGGATTGTTATAAAAACTGTTCAAAAAATACTTAATTTGCTCCGAATATTGCAAATGATAAACTGTCTTTTTAATTTGTTTTATTTGGTATTAGTATTTTCTCCATCATTAATTTTTTAAGAAAAACTTTTTTGTACAACCATAACAATAAAAAAGTAACTAAATTAGGCGGCATTAAACTGTCAATTTTTTAAAATATGAAAGCTTATACAAAATCTCCCTCGTCAGTTTTTAAGATTTTTTCGTTTCAATTTTTAATGTTATTTTTTCAGCACTCTATATTCACTTAATTTTTTTCTAAATATCAACGCAGATCAGTAAAGTAGAACCCTTTCTATAAGGAAATCAACCCTAAATATATAACAACGGGTTCCAGTTGTTGAAATCGATAGATATGTTTAGACCTGAAAACGTGATTTTTAACTTTCAAAATTCATAATATGTCGGAAAACAATTTTATTTTTTTGATATTTTGTTACAGTTTCTATAAATATTTCATAATAGTAGCTAGCGATCATTAAAAATATACGGAAATTTGGAAATTCTCTGTTTCATTCAATTTATTTCACATACGAGTGTACTGGTTTTTATATTGAATAGAATTGAATATATGAAATAGAAGAAAAAGCTTAACGATTACACATATTGCAAAGCACAGAGATAATTCGAACTCCCACATTCAATCCTCTTGCAAATATAAGGTAATAGGAATCGTCTTACAAATCACGCACTAATACTAATTACGGCATATACTCGACCTTCGCGAGTGTATATAACGGCTAAGGACGTAAATTTTGAAATCCTTTTAAATTAATTTAAAAAATATGACCGTTCAATGATGTCACTTTTAAGTTATTTGCCTAAGCGATTGTTTATCGTGGTGCCTTCTCGGTTTATCAATCTCTAAGCAAATCTTTAAAGCAAACACGTATAAAAATGTGTATACCGGTCGTCTCAAATTCGATCGCCAACCTTACCTATGTGTTTTTAAGTTTTGAAAATATCTATTGGAACTTTCGGTGCCTTTTTTTTAACGATCTCTTTGATTACCTTGTTAAGAAATCTTGCATACTACCAGAAATCGTATTATGGTTGATTAATTCGGTGTAACTGATTTTTCTTTTCGTTGTGTTTTCTTAAAATTACTATCATGGTTTACTTTCTTGGTTATTTCTATTGGTGGAAAAATTAAAGCTCTTCATTATTATTATAACTACCACTATTATTACTACTTACAAAAATTTTTGATTTATGTTTTCAGGTGCTTCTCATATCATTGTCGTTAGTGGTAAGCGAAAAAGATACAGACGAAGGAAGACCGTACGAATTTGGATTTACGATAGACGGGGAACAACACCGATACGAGAAAAAAGGTGAAGTTAATAAAGTACTGGGTGTAATAATAGGGGCAACGAGGTACGATATTAGAGAAAAAAATTATCCTAGAAGCTATTTTCGAGATTTTGAAGTGACATAGCTATAATTAAAATAAGTACTGTTTTGAAGCGCATGTAAATTAAAATATTTTTTGTTTAATGTTTATGTGTGTTTAAGAGCATTCTGGCAAAGACTTCCACTTCATTGGTTGTTATTAATCACCAATTATACAGGATTTGCCAAATAAAATGGTAATTTGTTATTCAGGGCGCCGAATATCTAAAATTAAAGTAAAATTTAGGTTTTACCTTTTATGTTTTTTCCCTATTACCCCAATACCGTACTTCGTTGCTATTTCTGCTATACACGAACTACAGCTGCTTTTTTTGAAAAAAAAAATAGCAATTTAGCTGTGCCATTTTAATGATTTCATAGTTCTTGACCTGTGGTGAATGCACGCATCTTACACCGAGTATATTATTTCAGTGTAAATTGTTTAATTTTGTTTGTCAAATATTTTTTTAGGTCTAATAACGTATCTCGTTGCTATTTCTGCTATACATGAGCTACAGCTGCTTTTATGAAAAAAAAAACAAATTTAGGAAAAGAACAGATAGAAAGTTTAATTAACTAAAATAAATATCTAGACAAACGATGTATGCCTTAAATTGCTATATACCTATGACATATCCACCAACAGAAGTATTTGATGCCGTTCATAGCGCAACATTATTTACAGCCTGACTACAAAGTGGTTTTACGGGCATCCTTAAACTTTATTAATTTTTTTCTCCGTTGGAAAATGTAAAAAAGTAAGAAACACGAGTCGCCACTTTGAGTTAAAAGATCTAATAAGCGACTTGAATCCTAATGCGATTTGTTCGATGATTGGCATTTTTGAAGCGCCCAAAAGAGCTCGCAAAACGAAATTGAAATTGTTTTCAATTTAAATTTTCTATTTCAGTCTGACCAAATATTGAACAAAAATTCTTTCCCAAAAATAATAAAATAAAAAAAAATATCCATAAAATACATTTTTGCCAAAAGTAATATTGCCTTTTCCAAATTTGTTAAATACGACCAAGAGCTGATTCGATGTTTGGATCTATGAAATTTGTTGATGTACCTCAACAAAATATTGCATAAATGACAACAGATATCACCGACACTTCAACTATACGTCAACAGTCACACGCCTGGGAAAGTGTGCTCTTGTTTCAGCATTGGTCGCTGAATTACTCTTGTGGACGCAAAAGATGCAAAGTTGAATCGCTCGAGCAGTTTCGTTTGGTCACAACCTTGAGATGGAAACTGACCCTCCATCTTGAATGCCAGCTACTTTAGACATTTTCTGTGGACCCTTGCTAATTTATTAATGTGCACCCCATAAGTGGGACACCAAATTATAGAAACATAACCAAATTTAGTCTTAACTAGACTATCTGTTTAGACACCGAAGATTTTCAGACTCGTGGAATATAAAACCGAGGTTCCTGGCTGCTGACTGAAATACACTCTAGATGTCCATGTTTAACCTTGGATCTCTATCAACATACACTCCAAGATCATTTACCATCCGGCGTTCCAATAGAGAAGTATCAATGCAATAGAAGAAAAGAAGGCCATTCTCCACGACCGAGGAATAGAAAGTAGTCATTACGTGAATAATAGAGACATAAAAGAGAAGTGGCTCTAGATTGCTACTCTGAGGGGCGCCCCTGGTGGAGGTAAAATTAAAAGACTTGAGGCTATTATGCTCAACAAATAGTGAACGCTCTGATAAGCATGGCCTGAAAAAACCCATTAAGGTTATCATCAAGACCAGCAGCTGACGTCGTATTCAACAAAATCTCGTGATCCATTCTGTCAAACGTCTTTGAAAAATGCGTGTTCATTGCAATTTGTCAAATATTAAACTTTAAACATCACGGGTTTTAGGAAAAACGTTACACAGTGTATCATTAAAGAAAAGCATTTATAATAACACGCAAATTCTAAAAACTGTAACAATTGTAAATGTTTTGACAAAGACTACAAGGATTTAGTTAGCCGGAAAGTTTACGACATGTAAAAGCCAAGGATTGGAAAACCTGAGGAAATGTTTTGGCAATGACGAAACCCAAATAGGCTGTAGAATTACCAGCCTTTGGCAGGTTATCTCCGCCATTAGCTTTAAATTTCACAAAATAGACAATCGACAGGTACTTATGGAATCTCAGAGATTACCAAATTTTGGCATGAGTGCATAACAGCGATAAGAAAATACCATTCCGAGAATTGTTCAGTCACTTACCTTATTGAAATATAGTTTGAAACTCATGCATGATAATAATAACCGTTTTGCATAGCTACTTAGAAAACTGTCGGGTCCCAAATGCCATCGTCACTTATTTGTGAAAACATTCAACTACCAGGAAGATGCAAAGGCAGTACTTTTACACAATGGTTCACAGATTTCCTTCCACCCAACAGAGCGCTAATAATGGAAAAAGCGAGCTATCACAGTCGTCAACTATACATAAAGTCTCAGACTCTAATAACACAAAGCTGAAAATTTAAAACTACGTGGCAATTAGGTAGCAAAATTCTTCTCCCACTTTAAGTGCCAGTGCGGCAGATTTAATTTTTAAAAATGTGTTCGTGAGAAACCCCCAGATTTTATTGTTAGACCCATTACAATTTACTTAGATGAAGATAGCTACAACAACACGAAATTGCTGATAAAGGGTTTTTCAATTAGCGCTGGTAGATTTTACCGGCCCGTGGCATCCATTTTGTGTTCATGGCCTCTATAAAATCTTTTGTTTCCAGTTACTTATGTCAAATCACCAATCAAATGTTAAGAATGTTATTGTCAAAATTAGTGTTCACCAGTGTGAACTTCACAGTAAATACTCCAACGATAACCCCACCCCAGGAAAGTGAAAGTCTAAAAAAAAGCCTTTTTGCAGACTTCAACTTGGCAAATTTTGTTTCGGGAATTAGGGTACATTCAAGTTCATAACCAAATCATTTGAAAGAAGTCCCCAATTTGCATAATATGAAATGATACGCTAGGTTCACCAAGTGTATCTTTAGAAAGTTAGTGTTTGGTGTGGATTTTGAGATGGCGGCCACAAACTAGACGCCATAATTATATTAACGATTTGAAGGTAAGGTTATCTTTCTCGGTGACGTGAATTGGTAATGCTAAACTTTTTCTTGTGGCGTTTTTTGAATTGTGCGGAAGAATCAATATACATTGGATCTGTGCCATTTTAGGAGGCATTGGAACGAGGTCATATTGGCACATATGGGCCCTTAAAATTAAAAAAGCATTTTGATAATACCTGAAGCCCAGTTGTTTATTGAAATTTCCTCTAGAATATTCTTTGCGTCTTTCCCAAAACTTACAAAAGTTTCGTTTGCTTTTCTTATGGCACTAGAGGTCAGGCCTATGTGGTCTGCGTAAGCATGGCCCTGTGATGATTTATAGAAGATGGTACCTGTTTCGAAGTTTCGACATAACTTAATGAATATTATAAAAACAAAGCTTACACGTTTGGCACACTAAGCCCTTCTTCTCACTAACTTCTAAAAGCCACAATGAAACTCTGACTCATCAAGAAAAAAAGAGGTGAATAACGAACATCACGATCAATCAACCTTCTTTGCGCGTAACTCGAGCAAACTTTTCGCCACTCGGGAAACTTATGGGCATTGTTGTAAAAACGTTTTTTCCATTATTCGGAAACACCGAAACCTTTTTACAAAGCAATTGTGTGAAAATCAATATTAACTCTATATAACGCCGAAAAGAATGGTCCTTCGTATAAAAGCTTTGTTCCCCGCGAAAAACACACCCGAACACTCGTAGCGAAAGCTTTTTAAAACTTCCCTCTTTGACTTGTTCAGGTTCGATACACCGATTGTGCGCTCATAATGGAGGCTTTGCGCCGCTGTGTATTCAGAAAATGGTCGGCATTTTTGGCGTTAGAAGTGTTTAAAATGTATTTGGTGAATCATGACGGGAAAATGAAATGATATGAATCAAAAATATAAACACAGTCTTATTTCTTTTCCCATATATATCTATAGCAACAAAACCTTTTGTCTCATTATAATGAAGATGTGTTAATACTATTGGAACATTTTTTTTAATATATAGGAAATAATAAAAGAAATTCGATTGATCGTTTTACCTCTAGTTAAATACGCCCCACTTACAAAAATTACTTTTGACACAACAGTCCTCAATTTAAGCTTAGAATGAGTTCATTTTCTGAGTTTATTGCGCTAGTTACTAGGAAATTGCAAAAAAGAATATGAGCTCTAAACTCAGCGGTATCATTACGCCTTACCCCATGCATGACCAAAAAATGTTTATTCTTGAGAGCTTTCGGTTTTTATTTTGAATCAGCCAATAACAGGCTTAAACAACTCTATTAAATGCTTGGAATGTTTGTGTTGTGTGACTAGCAAGCCACTGTCGAACTACGTCGTTCTCAGTAACAAAATTGAGTAGATCGATTGCATTGCCACGAGATGTATGTCCGTCCAGTTCGTCCTGGTGGTTTCTTTGCCACAAAATAGTCTGCAAAATACTACAAAAAAGTCCGAATTAATATATTATGATTTAGGGTTCACTGGAACCCCAGAACCAAAAGGTCTCCATCTAAAAACGTATCTTTTTTTCCCTTCTTCTTAGATATCCCAACAGGTGGGAGAGTGAAACTATAAATATTTTTTTCCCTTCACTGATGTCCTCTTTAGCGCGTTTTGAAGCCACGACTTTTCCTACTCATTCTGATTTTCTTATGCTAAGGATCCTTATTGTGCAGCCAAAACCTCTGAAACTTCTGAAAGAATTTGCCACTCTAGAAAATCGACGAATCTAGACGAACTTCTCACCAAAATTAAAAAGCCATTTTCTTTTCACAGCTTTTGTAAATAGTAAGTTTTCGTTCATGTTCCTAATTCTGGAAAATGATCCAACTGCACTTTTGAACTTATAGCTAACAAACAATTTTTTTTTTAAATCCTAATTGAAACTGTTTCAGTTAGGCTCTGAAGAAGCCAAGATTTGTTAATAGCGTAATAAATGATCTCTCAATGTTCGAGATAAAACGCAATAGACTCTGCCTGCTTCATTTACACCCATTCCCTAGATTGTAATTTTTGCTTAGCCTTTGCCAAAGCAGCTTAATTTGAGCTCGTGTAAGTTTACCCACACTCTCTTTGTCCACTACCAGAAATTTTCATTTACAATTTAGAAAATATCATACAATCTGAGTAAAAGTCTTCTTTGGTGGATGATGTTTTTGCTTGTTTCACTGGAACAGAAAGACAACTAAATTTATTTCTGAATCATGTTAACCTCATACATAAAGTTTACATAAGGTTTACCATAGAGGCGGAACTAGATAAATATTTAAACTATCTGGACCTATACTATAACTAAAGTGCAGAAAAAAATAGATTTTTCCATTTACCATGAACTCTCACACATGGACAAAGTAATACATAATAACTCAAATCACCCTTACACAAAATGGCTGACTTTTATTATTTTATCCACATACTACTTACTACAATCCAGAGAAAAAATTGAAAGAGAATGAAATATTAAAACAAATAGCTTCGACCCAGATTCATTCTCTCCATCCCATATAACACCAAAGCCAAAATGTGTAAAACAATTAAATTCATGGAAGAATCAAGCAAGAAAGTTTCGAATCAACTATCTAAATTTGGTCTTCAGATTGCTTCTGAAATTGAAAACACCATAGGGAAATTAAAAAAAAGAACAATAAAACTAAATTACGAAAAACTCAAAATCTTAATTTATAAGTTAAAATGTGGATCAAGTTCCAAAATGTATGTATAAAAATAAAAATTCGAATTTTAACTGTGCCATTCATTTAAATTCACAAATGCATAAGTTTGACGCTAGTTTTCATATATTTTACGTAATTATCAAAAAAACAAAAAATTGAATTTGAGGAAAGCTATGGAAGTCTTCGTTGCTAAATATAAATTTATAACCCGACAATAACGGTAATAAAGAATCTATTACTACCTGGTTATATATATAGCCTTCGGGATATTTTAATATTTGGTATTTGATCAAGGCACGGCGTTGCAGAAACAGCTGTCATAAACGAATTTAATTGTTTCAAGTGGATTTCGATGAAATAAAAGCCAAAAGTATGTTTCGTAGGAAACGAAACTGACTTTGTAAAATGATTCTTTCTGTGAGCTCCATCGGTGCTTAATTGACTTTAGTGAGTACAGAAAAAAATACCCCACCAATTTTGTAGATAATTTGCTTTTATAGTCTCAACTTTAGTATTGTGCTAATCCTATAGTTTAAAGTAAAGTAAAAAAAACCGAACGACAAACAATAGAACGAATTTATTTTGTGGCTCTTCTTTAGCTGACAATTGGATTCCTTTAGGAGGTTCCACATTTTGAAACTCTAAAGAACTAGTATTCGGAGCCGTTGATTCATGACTAGAGCTGGCATTTGTGCATTGTTGTGGATTGAAGTTAGTTCTTGGTTAGTTAGTTAGTCAGTTAGTTAGTTTTAGCTTCTTTTTCATATTTTCTACCATGTTCGATATTTTGACATTATGTAATAATATATGGTCACTCGTTGAATGGAGTATTTGAGAAATTAAACAAATTAATTATTTCAGAATTTTGTGACAAATATATTGTAGGATCCATTATGTGAATGAGACACGCAATGAATGATTTGATTTTACAGTCATAAATTTAGCTTACGTTATGATGTAGGTATACAAAGCAAAACTTTCGTTTTTAGTACATTAGAGTATTTAGTCAGTTTTATAGTCCATCCCTGCTTTTTTAAATTGAAAATAGAGTCTCATTTACGATAAAAATGAAATAAATAAACACAAACGTCTAACACTAAATTGGAGAAACTCATTTATTACACTACTACTGCAAGTAACAGACTTTCCAAATTTTTGTAACAAATGCTTTTTAAATAAATAAATAAATAAATATTCAAAAAAGTATCATTGTCACACAAGATGATCTTAACCTCCACACCAAGGTTTCGCAACGCACCGTGTTGGGGTCAACAAATTTAGAAAAAGAGCCAATGTATTTGTTGTTATTAAGACCCTCAGTAACTCGGTCGGCCAACTCATATGCGTTTAAAGTAGTAGGTTTTAGTTCTGTTCTAAAGAGGGTGATTCATTAATAATTGGCAATATACGGGATGTTAGTTTTCTTTGATAACTTTATTTCTAGTTTGCTGATTATGAACTTTATATTTAGCACAGTTATTACTATTATTACTAATGTTCCAATGTTCCAAACCCACAATTATAGCATAATAAAAAAAGTCTTTTCAGAAAAATCGTCGTTTTTCATTTAGATGCAATGGACAATTTTAACATATTTTTGAATTATCACAGCACGTTTTTAATTTTACTTGATAATAGTGAATAATCCTAAGTTATTTTCCGTAACCAAGTTGTACAAAATACTGTTAAAATATTCTATTAAATTTGCTTCAGGAAACTTGGATGATTTGATAATTATTAAACATAAACGCAAATTAATAATTTATTTCATGGAAATATAGAAGGGCAATTTTCTTGGCAACGGGTTATTTTATTGAGGTATAACAGGATTTATTCTAAAGTTTTTTAAATGGTAATTAATTATGAGCTTATAAAAGTTGCAAAAAGCGGTACACAAAAAAGTTTTATTACATTGTCTTAAGATAAGGCCTTTGGTATAAAGAGTTTTACGTCAAATTGAAAGTCATTTTTAAGTAAAGGAAATTATAAGTAAACTAAGGATAAGTTATTAGAAAAAATTTATTGAATAATATTCACCCTCTATAATAATAATATAATAAGCTAATGTTGCTGTATTTAAGTTTGTTTGCCAATGGCTTAGAAATTCTCTATCGACAACAAAGTTGTACACCGTAACTTTCTTGAAGCGACTTAGAAGGACTATGATCCACTTTCGGAATTGAAAAATGTATATTTGATATTAACATTAACATAAAAGCAAAATTATTAATACGCATGCATAGGGTAAATAAATTTTCAGCGAATGGCGGTTCAAAAAAAACCCACAATTTCACAATCGATTTTCAAATTGCAGATGAAAAAGGCATAGTTCAAGGCGAATTCGGGTTTATCACTGCCGACGGTATTTACCACGTGACCGTGTACGCCACTGACGAAAACGGGAACTTTAAAATCCTAAGCATGAGGAATCTGCGCATCAGCGCCCGTAAGTAACTCTGCTGTTCAAGGAGCAACCCACGAAATAAAGCAACTTTTTAAACCGAATTTGTCTTCGATTAGCCTTAGATGGTTCGCCGTTCAAAGGAGAAATATCTCCCGAAGCCAATAAATACAGGAAGCAAGCCGGCCTAGGTCTTCTTCCGGAACCGGCAGCCCCTAATCCTTTAATGCTGCCTGATGCGCCACCAAAGCAATCGCCAGAAATTCAGAAGACCACTTCGAGAGCGCCGTACGTTTTCACGACCCAGTCCACTATTAAGCCAGCTTGCGGTAATTATCATCTTTTTTCATGCCATTCTAAGAACTTGGAGTACCAGATTTTATCCATATTTCAAATTTAGGGTATAAAAAGTATTAGTTTGTGGTGGATTCGCCAGGTGTACCTGGTACTTGACTACACAGGATATACCTGTTGTCTCAGTAAGGATAACGGCATACGGTATTGTTGGATGTTCCTAAAAATTGGAAAGAAACTAAGTAAATCGGACAAGAGAAAATGCTGCAAATTTTTTTTTGAGGTTCTGAAATGGCCACCAGAGGCAACAAGTAGAGTGAAGATGCCAATCAAAATTCAATTTTGAGTTTTAAATTATTTTATTCGCATTTTAGGTTAGGACCAAGATATTGACATCTTTTCGTTGCATTGTTTTTGAGAAAATTATTTTTTTTTGGCACGACGTCAGAAAACGGTATCAGGGTAGCAGGGTACTAAATTGCACTCATATCACATTGGATAGCCTAGGAAAAGCCGTTTTTAATTATTCCAAAGTTATTATCGATATTTATTTCCGGAGATGTTGGAACACCTGTCACCACTTTAAAGATGGAGTAAAAGGTATCTAACAGAAAAGATCTAAATTTGACTCAGCTTCAAAATAGTGTTCGCTTTTGCAGAAAAATTGAAGATGGTAATTGGTAATAACATTTTCTCTTTTTTTTTCAATTTTTTGGGAACATCGGTTTTTCCAATACTGTACCTCGTTGTCCTTACTGGGGCGGCCGGTACTTCCTTATGGAAAATTTCCAGAAATATTTTTTCGGAACATATTTCCGGAAATATTTCCTGAAACATTGAAATTATATGCAAATATTGAAATTATCTGAAATGTTTTTTAAAAATAAGAAAAAGCTAATAAATAAAGACAAGGGACCAAATTTGTACAAAAAAAATTTTGTTTTTTTTATTTTATTTTTAAGCAAGAGGTATATCGTCATCGCTGTCATCAACATCATGGTTAATATGACTTTATTGTCAATCAAGTTCCTCAAAATCTTCAATAGTCTCGGGAATAGAAATTGGTCTATACTTTTAGAGAAAAGTGAAGACTTTTTAACCATTTTCCAAAAGGTTCAAAAATGTTAATTAAGTGGGAAATTATAGCCTGAAATATTTCGTTATCTAGTATCCACTGCTTAACATTTTTATCGACCATTTGTATTGCTTCTTGGCTCACTGCAACTCTTTGTAAACTGAAAGTAGCGTCTTTAACTGATCAAAATTGAAGACCAGAGAGTTTTTACAGGCAAATTGTATGGTACCTACGTTTTTGTTTTCTGTTTGTTTTGTTCGTTCATAAAAAAGATAAGAGTCGATGTAATCTTGATTGTAAGCAGACCATGAGAAAAGATATTTTTCCCTCAGCATGATTTCAGCAAAGTTGCATATTTCTTGCATTATCGGCAACGAACTTTAAGAATCTGTCTGGTTCATATTTTTCAATTACCTTTCTTCTTAAGCTTCATACCGTGCAGTGAATCTTTGCAACTTAGTTTCGATGGCAGCATCCTGCAGCGGTGATGGTGTACTAATTATACAATTTGACTCTTTAATTTCGCATGTTGCTCCAACTGTCGATGTGTAGACGTAAAATTTCGCTTTCATTGATTGAAGTATTAATCTTTTCTTTTACTCCATTAGACCCCGTACCCAAATTTGCATTCGACAGTTTATGTCTATTTGGTCGTACAAAACTTAGACCAATCATCTTGAAGAGTTTAACCCAGTCAGCCTTTTCAAGGATAGACAACGGACAGTATCTGGCGTATATTTCACAAGCTATTAGAGTTTCGATTTTTTCCGTTTAAAAAATGTATTCTTAGTGTTTGATTTTCTCATATATTTCTATTTTATTTAGTGAAATTGTAATCATACTTTTTATTTCTTAGCAGTGACCTGTGTGAATAAAGAAAAATAATTGGTCAAGTAAAAGCTTCAGCCAACAAATCCAAAAATACATGTAGAAATCGCATGCTATTGCTAATACCTGTAAAAGTTGAGGTGGACGGTTGTGGTATTCCGCAACATTGTAATTATCATTCAAAATGCTTTTATTTTCCAAAACACATTGTCATTATCGATGGATGAGACATTTTCTTCTCCGTAACCCTGCATAAATTTTCATTTGATTTGGTTATGACAGTTTTTACAAACTTTACTCAAAAATATAATATATACAAATATACTTTAAACAACGCATAATGTATAAAAGTAATTTCCAATAACGCACTGAGTCACTCATGTTCACAATAATTCGATATTTTTGTCGATCAATAATTGAGTTTGAATCGTTAATGATAAGATTTAGGTATTTTTTGAAACATTTCCACTATTCCCAATATTTCCATTTAAAATCCAGAATTACAAAGTTAAGTCGTAAAAAGTTATTGATAATTTACTATTGCGGTAAATATTCCCGGAAAATATTCTTATTTTATAATATCAATAAATATTTATAGTGTAAGTGTTATTGGTTTCCATAAAATGGCGGTGTTTGTCTGGAATCTGGTAATTCAGCTATACAATGGCATTCGCACCGTCTTTCTAACAAACAAAAATCACCCAGTAAGTCATTTTAGCTGGATGTGGCTACGTTACAACACCGAAACCGGTACCAGGGCAAAAGTTTCCCTTCCAGAACTCAATTTTCCAGAAACCAGATAGGGAACAACCTCAAAAAAATGATCTAAATTCGCAACCAGAACAGGGATCGATACAAAGTAACGGCGTTGGTCCGCAACCTCTGAAGCCGCAATATCAAAGTACCAAAGGATTCCAAAATACTCAATATCCTAGTTTAAGTCACGGGTTAATTAATTCTCGATTCGAAAGTTCAGCTACCAAAGACGATGGAAATGGTAAGAAAACAACGAACTGTATGATATATTTTGAATCATCGGTCTCGGATTTCAGGTGATTCTGGATCTCAACATTCAACTAGTCTAGATGGTGTGCCACAAGATCAACAATTTGTTGGACCGCCGAGCCCGGCAGGTAAGACAAACTTTTCTCTCTACATATTAAGAAGCGAATTTTATAACTTTCAGATGTTTCAGTGTTCCAACCTACTGGAAATTTAGATAATGTACCACAAAGTCAGCAATTTGCTGGATCTCCAAGCCCGACCGGTATGATTGGCTTTAGTGGCTTTCTATCCATCCTCTGTAGCACTATTTGTTCCATCTTTGGACCTAAACTCCTGCCAGACTTCTCCTCTGTTCTTTGTCTGTCACCATGTTCGTTCCTTTGGGTTCGCCCTGTTTGTCTTCCTCTATTTTTTTTATTTTCCGAAAGTATATGGTTTATAACGTTTTGTTCAATCTGTCGTCTTTTTGTGAGATGTTATGATCCGCAAATTTCTAGTTTGACTTAGCTACCTCCTCACTTACGTCTGTATTTTGATTCGATTTGTTATCCATTCGCGTCTTTTTCACTCTATCAGTTTTAGACTTAACATTTGTCTTTCCATTAATATCTGTGCATTCGCTATTTTGTACAAGTTTGATGTTGGAAGTGTCCATGTTTGTAATCCCCAAACAAAGATAGGGTTTAATACGCGCCGATTGTATACTGTGATTTTCAGGGGATGCTAATCGTAATCCGATTGCGACCATTTCACCTATGTTGATTTTGATTTTAATTTTGGTGTAGTTCATACAGTAAACTGCTTTTAAAAGGCCATCAAAAATATTCAATCTTCGTAAAGATTTAAAGCATACATTGACTAGTGCACCAGCTGATGCCTCTGTTTGGCAGTAATTTGAGTGAAAGCTAACAAGGACATTAACAGGACGGCTTTTGATCTGAGACCCTCCAATTCTCCTAAAAAATGTATATATTTCTTGCCAATGGTTCTTTCAGCATTTTCGGCAGTTCGTTTTATGGTAGCTTTCAAGGCTATATCATTGGTATATTTTATAGTGCTGTTCATATATTTTTATAACTTTTTCTTCCTAGTCTAGTTTTTATAAAGACGTAATGTCCTCTGTTTTGTTTCTCTGTGAATTGTGGGAAAGAAGTTCGTTGGGAAGTGTTTAACGTTCAAACACAATTCGATCAGCATGTTCATGGTTACTTCTACTGAATCTCTTTCTGAAACCAGCTTGCTCTCTCGATCGATATTTGTCGAATCTTCTTGGTAGCCTAATTGTAAATATTTTTGTAAGGAGCTTGTAAATAACATTCAGGAGTGTTATGTGTCGATATTTTTTAACAAGTACTCATTGTGAGATACATGAAGTACCTTAGCGACTCTGTCATTAGTAAATATGTTTCCGTTTTTTGAAGGAATCTGACTATATACGCTAAAACTGTGTTCAGCATCATCAAAATTCGTGAAGTTATGAAGGACACAGTGTTTTCCACCAGGAGACTAGATTATCAAAACAATAACAATAAAACAGCATAAAACAAATAACTTGCCACTTTTACAATGATAATCTTCTATTTCAACTATTATTCCTTACTGCTTTATATTGAGTTTAATTTTTGAAATATTAAATAGGTATACAAGAAAGAATTTATGTTTCATCATCTTCAGGAACTTGTGATTTTAGATTTAGTAATTCGGTAGCAATATTTCTCTTTTTCAACAAGCTTCTACAATTCAGAATTTTCTTTATCTTAAAGTGAGGACAATGGAAGATTGTTCTGAAATACCCTCCTGACATGGCAAAATACTTTTATAGTAAATAATAATGCTTAATCTCTAACAATTTTTAACGATTTGCCAAAAGGTTTAAAAATGTTAATTAGGTTGCAAAATACCTAAAATACTACGTCATCTAGTATCCGCTGCTTAAATTTTTTATCGATCATTTGTATTACTGCTTGGCTAACTGGAACTTCTTGCAAACTGAATCTAATTTTTTGTCCCTAATCAAAATTGAAGACCAGCCAGTTTCTATATGCAATTGTATGGCACTTCAATTAGGATCTGCATTTGCTTTTAGCTTGCTTGTAGCTTGGAGTTTTTAAATAACATTCAGGAATGTTATGTGTCTATATTTTTTAGATTGATGCAAAATGATGGTTACGATTTCATTCCAGTTGTTTGGGATTCTCTTTTCCTTCTCATTCTGCTTGGTTATCTCAGATTGTAGGTCTGAGTTTCCATTCCTTATTTTAGATTAGAGTTGGATTTTGATTTCATCTGATGGTCCAGGTTTTGTTTATAATGTGTGTAAATTATTGTAGTATTTATTATATCGCCTTTTTATGGCTCCTTTTCCGTTTTGGTCTTTTATTGTATTAATTTTAAGGCTGCCTATTGTTGGTTTAAAACTTCTCATGTTCCTGTTTCTTCTTTAAGACTCGTTCCTTTTTTATTTCTTAATGCATTCCTTTATTTTCTTTTATGATTTTTCTGCTGCTCTTCTTTTTTTTGCCTTTGGCTATTTTTTAATGTATCAAATTTTGGGTTAGTTGTCCCTTTAGTCTCTTATTTTAGTATATATTTTTATTTTGTGCAAGTTTGATGACGTTCAATTGTCCCGACCTTGTTCGTTTTTTCTATCTGTTAAGTATTGTTACATCTTTAAGGGTTGTATTTTGCAGTTGAAAATATATAATCAATTTCATTTTTGCTATGTCTATTTTCGTTGCGACCTCATTTTATAGAACGAGTTCATTCTAGATTAAGGTAGTCTATTACCCAGATTGGCATTATAATCTGTAATAACTAATGTTAAGCGATGTTTATGTTTTTGTATAACGAATTGTGCTCTATCTCGCTCAATATTTGAAACTTTTAGGTGTTTTTGGATCCCAATCAAGTGGAAATCTAGATGGTCTACCACAAGGTCAACAATTCCCTGAATCAAGTGCGACGGGTAAGAGTTGACCATAAAATCCTCTTTTATCTATCTTGATATTCTTTATTTTGTCTATCAACACGTACAAATACTGTAGGTTTATCTGGATATCAACAGAATGCGTACCAGTCAAATGTGCAAAATAGATAGACATGTTACCTTCTTTTATATACATAATGATTTCAATTCCAGGAGGACTGGGGGCGGCAAATCAACAATCTTCGAGGAATCCAAAAGGTATGTAAAGGTGTTCTTCTTTCTAATAAAGACAATCTATATTTGCTGACGCAGAAATGGAGGTAAATCCACTCTCAATTCCGAATCCAGACGATGTAAGACAGCAAGTTCAACAGGAAGTAAAAGACTTCGTCGGGATTGGACAACGAGGTGCGAGCAAGAAAATTTCTGGTCAAAACAATGAAAGCAAAACAAAATTATTCATTTGTTTCAGGATCAGCTACGTCGAAACAGTCTGGTTTTCCGCCCATTTCTGTGTCGGACAGCGTCATACACGTAGGTGGCAAAAACCCCCAGGATATCCCGATTAAAGACAAGTTTCCTGGTAATATTTTATTGATTATTTATATACTTTGACTCATATACAGGGCGAATGCTGAAAAAATTGTCACAAATTCTATAATTATCACTGAAATTGTTTATAACAGGTATGGAGGATGGGCTTCCAGAGGGTGTCAATGAAAAAGACGTCAAGGATATTCTATACAAGTTCCACTACACGGTAGGTTTCCACGGACATTACGAGAAAGGTTTGAAGAACGGTGCGAAAATCGGTGGATACTTCGTCAACGGGAGGGACGGTATCAGCAGGGTAGTTACCTACATTGCCGACGAGAACGGCTACAGACCCAAAATAAAACTAATCAATCTCGGACTAGATTCGGAAGAAACGCCTAAAGAAGCGACGGAGAAGAGCTTCGGACTCAAGAGCTTTGAGTTTGTTTGGTATCCCATTAAATAAATATGTTGCGTGTGTGATCTTGTATATATATTTGTCATGAGGTTTATTCTAGGGGTGAACTATGCAATGAAATTTGGAAATTTCAGGTTTTTCGAATTTTCCTTAATTCTTTTTTCCATTTTCCTTTTAATATTAATAGTTATTAAAAGTATTGACATTTTCATTAGTTAGGTTGCTTATAAAAGTCAATATTCAAATTTGTCATTGCAGTGGAAAGTACTCAGTACGGGGTGAATTAAAAATTTGGGTCAAGCCATTAAAAATATTATTTACATAACATACATATTTTCTTGAAGTTTGGTGTAATTGTTGTAATTGTGTATAATTAACATTACTATTGCTTAGCGTATAGCACATTCGTAACTTTTCTGATATTGTATATTAATTAATAAATTAAAAGCTAAAATTGAACATTAATTAAATTAATAAATGAAAAAATAAAAATTATCAAATTTAAATTAAGAGGTTGGCGTCTCGTCCGTTTTTCTTTTAATAAGTAAGAAAAAGGAAATGTAAGGCTACGTTTAAGAGAAATATTTCTTAATACTAATCGGTGGATTGGTCCGTGACAAAATGTTCGTGTCCAATGGCCAGTGCATTCCCCAGCCTTTAGTCTACTGGGTTCCTGTTTTTGAAGGTTCATTAAAGATTTTCTTTAAACGGTTGCCATTGCTAGTGAGCATCGTTTGAAACAGTCAATTTTTCTAGTTTGCTGTTTAATTTAAATACCCGAACCGATATTTATTACTCTATAAAAGGGCTCGTGTTCAAGGACCTAATTTTTATATTTACATATCATTTACATAATTTATATATAATATTTTTGTATTTTTTAACTTTTCTTATATTAACTAATTTACAGTATCTTAAAAACTACCATTGTTATCAAAAATTAAATAGGAAAGAAAAACTACGTAATATTGAAATAACTGATTAACCATGTATCAAAATTATTTATTCATTTTCATCCCGTTTTTTTGGACATTTGTTATGTTTCCTAACATTTGTAATAATATTTTTGGATTAATTTAATTGAAAGTTTATTTATTTCGCAGTTTTTAATTGTTGCTAACATTTTTAACATTGTTTATTTATTAGATTGCTTTTTACGGAATCGGCACGTTTTTGGACATTTCCGGATTATATCGATAAAAAAGTTTTCTCGAACTTTTAAAATTTCTTGAATTTTATTGAGTTTATTCTCACATTTGTACCGAGTTTTCCGGTATTACGTGAATTTCTTTGTACTATTTCCTAAGTAAACTAAGAGCCCATTAGCTAAGAGTGTTTCTAAGGAATTCGGTGTGCCATCGTCAATGAAAGCGCATGGACTGTAAAGCATTATAAAAAATATGCTTAGTGGACTAATCTGAACACAGACAGAAAAGGAAATTCCCCTTTCTGTCGGTGTTTGCAGCTCAATGTTCATAAGACACACAATGGATAATTAGATAGTTATCGGATGTTTTTGAAAATGGGCAGTTTCCAAAAAGCACTTTAACTTTTTTGTTATGTATTGTGCATTGGTGCGCCTATAAAAAGAGTTCCGAACCAACTTGTTACGCAGAATTTAATGGTTTGAATATAATACTTTCAAACTAATAGCGTATTAGTTATCTTACAAAAAATTGATTTGTTATATATATTTTTCAATCGTTGAAAATTATTAGAAATTACCTTCCAAAAAATATAGCATTCATGATATATTGCACAGGTCCTATTTAAGATACACGAGTTTCTACTACTTCGAATAAGAAAAGGCGTTAAATCTTTGAATGCAGACCATTGTTGCCAAATTGTACTATTTCTTTCATGTACTTTTTTTAATAGTAATATAAATACATATATGCTCAACAACAACAGAGTAAAAGAACCTAACCAAAACTAATCAAGCTCTAGCTTATTTGTACACAATTAAAATGCAGAAAGTCGACAGCACCATTGGACATGTAGACTTTGGACGGGGCAGCAAAATAGCGAAAACAAATGCGTCCTTGCAGCTGTCAAATTTTAAATTTGATTGTTAATACGTCGAGTTTTGACTTGGTCTTTCCATATAGCTATTAGGTAATATAGTGGCCCAACTAGAGTAAAAATTGTTTTTTAGGTAGAAAAGAGAGTGATTTTCAGCACCTTTCCACTCATGAAAGTTAAAGACACGGAGAAGACCAGCAACAGTTAAGGTTAGATGAACTTAAAAAACCATATATGCCACACAGTTCCAGAAAAGTGCATTTTTGCCAGTCTGTGACTGTTTGAAATATATTATGGTTGCACTGTCCAAAGTCCGCTTGGTAAAAGTTCAAGAGGTCTAACCAAAATTAATGAAATGTTAAAATAAAAAATATTATATATAAAACCATGAATGACATTCCAAAAAAGTTTTATGAAAAATTCCCATGACAAATGGTTACAGAATTTTTTCTTGAAATGCACATTTTCGAAAAACTATAACTTTCGAGTCACTAGAAAGGCGAGTTTCATTTTAAAACTGTCCGCCCTCTACAATCAGAAAGCCTTTAAATTACTTTTCCGCGATAACCATGCCCGTGAGACATGAACATGTAATGTTGGTTGCGGCCGTAATTTTATCAGTTTTGCTATGCCAAATTTCAACCACGGTATACCCCTAGGATTTATCATAATAATAAACACAATACGAGAGCGGGGGAGACTTTTATTTAGTTTTTTCTGGGAGTAGCCTTTTATCGCAATCGGATGCATACATTTCACGAACCACATTGTAACGAAATCGGGGGTTCGCGGTCGGTGGGCGCGTTGCTATATCGAGCTGTGGACATATACGGCAAGTGATTAAGTATTCCTTAACCACCGACATATTTGTTGCTGGAGATAAAAGAACGGTCGGTCGAATCAAGGCTGCCATGTGGGCTTTTTGCGAAAACAAACGAACCTAACCATTGTGTTTTGTACGGGTTACGTATCGCTGGTAGCAAATCGTATTTCAAGTTCACACGAGGCATAGATTTGCATATGTCGGGTGGGCAAAATAATACCAAACGGTGTATAGTGCGGCAACGTTCCCTTGTCTTTTAAAACACCCTTATCGTAATGAGATGATGAATACGGAATCCTATAGATCTGGGGTACTCACATTTTTTCTAAAAGATATAATTTTTAATATGCGAGCTAACGATATGTTTACTTAAACGGAACACCGTGTATTCTTCTTTAAAAATTGATTGCTCTTTATTTTTTAATGAAACACTCTGTATGCAGTGTGTACGAAATATTAATATTATATAGGTTAAATTACGAAAGTTTTAAAGAAATTTGTGAGAAACTTAAACTAAAAGTCAATCGTTTTTGAAATTGGTTTAGATTTTAGTCTTTGCATTGGTATTATTACATTTTTAGAACACTTTTCGTAAGAATATTATGTCATCAAGGAAAACAGAGTGTTTTCTTTGTTTTCGAGATTCACCATAGATTTTAAAATTTTCTTATAATATATTAATAATAATTATGGGCACCTTATGATGGAGACGGAAGGATTAATTGATGCCATTCAGGATTAAGTCATAGCAACTAAGAACTACAGAAGGTACCATTCTGAAACAAAACATAGAAAGCGACCTTTGCAGATTGTGTCACTTGAAACCAGAAACTGTACAGCATCTAAGGACGGGATATTCTTTCCTGGCGCCACGAGATGTAAAAAAAGGCATGATGATGCAGCCAAAGTTCTACACCAAGACTGTCAAAAATATCACCTTACATATGATCTAAAGTCATAGAAAATACCGGGGGAAAAATCTACTGGCATCTGGGAATGGTCACGAACCGAGAGATTTGACATAACAGACCGGATATTGTTCTCTTCGATAAAGGCTGTTATGGACATAATTGTACCAGAGGACAGCAATTTAAAGAACTCTAGAAATAACAGCATTTAAAAAAAACCGATCTGCAGAAACTTAGTTTAGATTGCCTAAAAATATAATTCAGGTGGCACAAAAGGCCATCATTCTGGGAACATGTCGGAAGGTCCGGCGCAAACTCACATACTAAAAGAATGTTAGTTTCAGGGAGAACTCCGTTCTAGTCACTCGGAACCCCAACAATAGTTGTGATTTAAAATAATAATAATAATAGCAATAATAATAGTAATAACCTGTACTTTCCAAATCGACAAAAACTAAAAAACTACTTATCCAATACTACAAACCGTACAAGCATTTAATCATAAGATATTAATTTCAACATTTTTTTTTGAATGGACATAAATTATCACATATTTTTATTTCTTTCGGTCAAAGCTTTAAAAAATCGAACACCACTTACACGTGGTATTCTATAACAATTAATATATTTCGTATAAAGCTGTCTTTAGTTCTTGTATTCACGAAGTGAAAATTACTGTTCAATGTAAAACCTGATTAATTTTGAAACACATATACACACATTTTAAACATGTATAGATAATACAATGTTAAAATTTAACATTTTTGTAATAGGTTTTATAGGAAAAGATTTGGAAATACCTATACATCTTAATTCTGCTGTCAACGTGTGATTAATAAAGACTTAATATTTGTGATTCGGTGAAAATATCTTTAAGGTTATGTAATAAATAAATGTTGGTTTTCAACCCCGACACCAAAGAAGAGCAATTAAAATTATTTTTTAAGTAGGAATAGAACCTTTATATCATATACTGACAGCAAATCTTCACTATTCATATAAAGTAAAAGGTCTCTACATGGCTTTTGAATGTGATGGAATCTTATAAAATATATTTTTAGTGGATTAAAGTGTTAGTTACTAGCATTAAGGCAAGAGTTCACTTCAGTCAAAACTAAGTCGCATTTGTCTTCCAGCCATGTGTGATGCTGTGTGTACTCTTCCTAATACAGACCCTTGAGTTTATAATATTTTGCAAGAATACAGTAAATACTTGTATATATGGCACTTCGAAATTCGAAATGGCTATCAGGTAGTATTTTAATATTTTCAAGATGCAGCAAATGTCGTTGCAAATAGGCGTACTGAAACAACCGGTCTGTAACTATTAATATTTGTTTTGCTACTTTTTTCTATGCAATAGAATGTAATATGTTGGCTTTAAGGAAATTTCCCTTTACGGGTAAATTTACTAAAGAGCTAAATGGATAGAATGCGTTTTATAAAAAAATCGTTATACAATAACATTCAGTAAGACGTTTATTTATAAGCTTTTTAATAAGTATACTGTATAGCTCCTCCTCAAGGGCAGCCGTTCAAAAATTAGTCTATCTTTTCCAGGTTCTGTAAATTCGTGTTTTTTTTGTGCTTGTGTGGGAATGTTTTTGGTTATTTTCGCCATAATAATTTTTTCGTTATTGGATAGAGCATAAAAAATTCTTAGGGTCACAAAATAAAAATTTGATTGCTTTTTAGTCAGGCCATGAACGCTGGCAGCAGACATTTCGAAAAACAAAAGATTTGACAGTATTGGAATTATTTATTTAACATTGAACAGTTTTACTTTCTAATTACATTGGAATAACTTGGAATTACTTACTAATTATATTGGGATTAATAAACAAATAATAATTCAAAATTATGTAATGCAATTTAATATTTAATACATATTGTTGATTTATTAATATTGTCGATAGCTATATTTACAGTGTCAATTAGAAAGAATTTTCAAACAGATGGTCATCATCATTAGCACACGTCATATCGTTTAACAGTGGAACTCAACAAATTATTAAGTACATTGGTGTGATGATTTGAAATGCTTCCAAAACGAGCTGAAGGTTTCCTTCCTCTATTTGAAAATTATGTTGTTGCACATAGTGTCTTATGTAACCCCCAGAGATAAAACACGGGAGGAGTTAGATTCATCGTACAGGCCAGGAATCCATCTCAATATTTGTCAGGAAATCAATTTTTAGGTGTTATTGAACTATTTTCAAATTATGAGCGGGGCTCCATCTTGTTGAAACCAAATATTGTTGACCTCCGCTAACAGTAAGTTAGTATCAAAGTATCCAAACCATCTTTATCCAAATTTCGATATATTTCGGAATTTAGTGAGTTGTTTCTAAAATTTCTGCGCACATGTTGTAACTAAAATTGTATTTTTGTGAAGACTCCGTTACCACACTTTCGTAAGAAAATTTTATTAAGAAAACTTCTTTGGTATGTCTACCAAAAATATTGAAAAAGGATATAAACTTAAAGACTCCCATTGAAGGATGTAAATCAGTCGTTTCTGAAATTCTAGTCTGACTGTGGCTGAAGCATACAGGTATAGATTGTTTGTAATATTGATAAAATTGAGACTGACACCCTAGCTATGTAGCTTGTGGCATAGTAAGTTATGAAAGACAGAGTCGCAAGCTCTACGAAAATCAACAAAGGCGGCATAAACCATGTAGTAGTATAGATGGTGTCAATGCAATACCTTCCTTTTCAAAAACCAGACTGTACTTCTAGTATAATGCTGACAGCAGACTCCCATATCAGAAACCTCCTCAGGAATATGTTCGTAAATACGTTCACTAACGTATTCACCAAAGCAATTGGTGGGAAATTGTTACCATCAGTAAGTAAGGTATTAAAAAAAATAGAGCTAAGTTGTAGGAGTCAGTTTTGTCGCAGGTTCTTAAAAAATTCATAAGGAATATCCAGGAGACTTAGTATTTTTAGTTCTTCTAGCATGTAATTCAAGAGGGATACTTTCCTGACAAAAATGGCCCCAATAGAGTTGCAAAAAATTCCCGATGAGCAACTTTTGTTACAACTATTAATAAAGCATCAAAAGGATTTTAAATCAATAATAGAAGAGTGTGCACCAAGTTGTCTCTTATCAAAAAGGCGCTATTTGCTCATTATAAGTTTTTTATACAGTCGTTTAGTTTCAAGATAAGATTACAAGTTACAAGATAAGGTTGCCTGAGCCAATCTTCGTAGCTTTTTAGTTCAGATTTAGTTTATTTTTGAGTGTACAACACTTACAATCACAACAGGGTTTGTGTTGACCAGCACTTTTTGGATATGAAGTAGTCAAGGTGGTTACTGCTCAGGAATAGAAAATCAATTGTACTAACCTGCCTTACACCACCAAAGGGAAACTGTGAGGGATTGTAAATTGGATGTTCTTCCATTAATAACAACGAAACTATTTCTATTCATAAACTCAGGTAACTCTCGCCCTCTAGATTTAATTGTTTGGTCTAAACTAGATTACTACTCTATAAGAAGTTGCTAGCGCTTAGCCAATGAATTCTAGGATACTGGGAAAGCTGGAACGAATTCAATACCTGTGGGTTTTTACGACCAACGAATTCAAAAATTAGAACTGCAGTGTTGTCAGATTAACCACTTTTACATTAACTTGGATGCTCTATTCACTTTTATTGCAATGAATTGATCATGTCTAATTTATTAAAATTTCATAATTTGAAAATACTATTACTAAGCGTCGAAAACAGTGCTTTTTCAATAAAACGTACCGAAATGGTTAAATATCTCCAAAAATGCCACAGCTGGAACTATAATATTCCGTACCTGTGGTTTTTGAACACGAGGAATCCAAAAAGGCTAGCACCAATGATGATTGAACATAGGACGGAGGTTCTGAGAGATAAAATTAGATGGGGCAGTTTCCGAGTCGACCAAACCTCACACAAGGTTGCAATGTTATAAAG